CCCGGCACAGCTGGGCACCGGTGCAGCCTCCAGCTGCCCATCCCTGACGGTGCCGCTGCCTGGCACAGGACTCGGAGAAATGCTTCACCTGCGACTCGCGGGACCCGTCCCTGCCAGAGAGCCACCGCATCGAGAACGTCATCTACCTGAGTGGCCCCCATGGCCAGCGGACCTGGTGGCATGGCCGAGTGGGGGGGACGAGCCCTGGGGACCCACGGGTGGGTGCTCCCCGTGGTCACATGTGCCATCCCCAGGCGTGGAGCATGTCAGTATCCAGCTGGACCTGGAGGCCGAGTTCCACTTCACCCACCTCATCATGACCTTCAAGGTGGGTCCTGGCACACGGGTACCCAAAATGGGACAGGATGGGATGATACAGGATGGGATGGGGCCTGCAGGGGCTGTGGGGTCGGCCCCTGTCCCAACTGGGCATCCCGCAGACCTTCCGCCCAGCAGCCATGCTGGTGGAGCGTTCGGACGACTTTGGGCGCAGCTGGAAGGTCTACCGCTACTTCGCCTACGACTGCGCCGCCTCCTTCCCCCACGTCCCCCGTGGGCCTCCGCGCCACATCGATGACGTCGTCTGTGAGTCCCGCTACTCTGACATCGAGCCCTCTACCGAGGGGGAGGTGAGGTCCCGGCAGTGCTCTGGGAGGGTTGGGGGACCCCCCGCCGATCTCCCCTCACAGCCCTGCTGTCCCCCCTCTAGGTGATCTACCGGGTGCTGGACCCCTCCATCCCCATCCGGGACCCCTACAGCCCCACCATCCAGAGTGAGTCGCCTGCCCCGGGCTCCTGCCTGGCTGCTCTATTTTGAGCGCAGCTATTTTGGCCGCAGTCTCCCTGCTCTGAGCCCCACAGCAGGGTCAGGGCCGGATCCAGTCTCTGGGGTCTTGTGCCCCTCCTGCACCCTGCCCCGTGGGAGCAGCTAAAGGTTGGGCTGCATTGGGGGAAAGCGGAGGAGGACGGCCGTGCCAGAGCCAAGCCCAGTGCCGAGTAGTGTCTGCAGTGTGGGATGGGGTCGGGATGGGCAGAGGAGTCAGGCCAGGCGCAGGACGTAGCGGGTTAATCACCCAAGGCTAAATTTAGGCTGGGAGCAGGAGGGGAGGAATCTGCAGGGCAGGGCTGCTGGGAAGCTGCATTCCCAGGGGAGCCGTCCTGTCCTGCCAGGGCCCCAGGCTGCACCCGCTGGGCACAGCCGTCCCCGGGGCACAGCCCCCAGCAGTGGGTGCCCTGATGCCCAGAAGGAGCCCTAAGCCCAGGGCATGTGCTCTGCACTGGTGGGGGCACAGCCTGCATCTGCTGGGGGGACCTGCAGAGCCCTGGCCCGTGCATAGCTCCAGTGAGAGTCGTGCACAACCACGCGCACGGGAGCTGAACCACCGCAGTTACGTACAGCGCAGCCTGGCCATGTGCAACCACGTACATGTGAGGCAAACCGCACACAGCCCTGTGCCAATAAACCATGCCATAGAAAGCCGTGCACAGCCGAGCCCGACGGTGTGCAGCTCTCTGCGGACACCCCGTGCCGTGCACAGTCCAGCCCAGCTCTGCGCAGGCGAACTGAGCCGTGTCCAGCTCTGCCAAAGCTGCCCACAGCCCCCTGTGGCCAT